TTGTAGGAGAATAGTAAATGTGTATTTATGGGAATATGAAAAGCATAGGATGTGAAAAGTCTGAAAGATCAGTAACCAAACATTTACGCATATTCATTGTTCATTTAATTGAATAATAATGATGACTGTGCCTTCAAATAATAAAAGAGAAAGTTTGAAAGATAAATAAAAAAATTCAAAAAAATCACAAAAAAGATAAATAGCTTTTTAGCCCCTAGAGGCATGCTACATAAGCAAGTGTAACATTCTCCTTTATATTTATCTTCTATATTATCTTAAAAGCATGAACTTGAATGTTAAATTACTATAATATTTCTCCCTAACTTAGGTTGTGACTTTTTCGATGAGTTGTGACTTTTGTGATAAATTGTGACTTTTCTCAAAGGGTTGTGATTTTTCGATTAGTTGTGACTTCTCCAAAGAGTTGTGACTTTTTCAATAATTTGTGACTTTACCAAAGGGTTGTAACTTTTCGGAAAGGTCATGACTTTTAAGATAAGACACAAAAAAACTTGGTCATACTACCCTTTGTTGACTATAAATAGAGGGGCTTCCTCTCATTTTTCAACCACAATTTTTTTAATCTTCTACTCTTCTTCTTCTTGCATTTTAAAAAAATTCGTGTGATTTATTGTCGTTGAGTGAGTTCGAAGTACTGTGGAATATGATGAGGTACAACTATTCTGATGAAGTAAATTATTCTTTCGTAAGAGGGTATATTCCATAACCTCGAGTACTTGAGGAAAATATTTTTGATAATATAAAATTTATTTTTTTGCTTAATATATATAATAGTATGTAAGGTTCCTGTCACACCCCGAGCCTACACCCTAGGCGGGACTGGCACTCGAGAATCATTGTTGGCCCCAAGCGAATCCTTGGTCTGACTTACTTACTTAGTGGAAGACTTTAAGCATTAATCTCAATTGTCTCAAACTAAACTCATAATGTTTTAGAAATAAACATTTAACTTAGCCAAAGTGGCAACTCAAATCTGAACATAAGTCAATAACAAGGTAAAGACAAATGAACTAACTAATTGTCTCTCTATGAAGCCTCTAAAACTGAGATGGATGTTGGGACAAGACCCACGACATCCTAATGAACTAAAATACTGAAAGCAATAAAAGGGATCCTCCGAAAGCAAGTAGGCTCACCAACAAACTCTGGAGCTCACTAGAATCAATGATGCGCTGAATGCTGATCCTGATTACCTGTGTCTGCATCATAAGAAGATGCAAGCCAAATGGCATCAGTACATTGAATGTACGAGTATGCGAGGAGAAATCTAAAACAAGACATAAGCTTGAAAGGAACTGAAGAACTTACCTGACTCAACTCAACTCAACTAATTTCAATATAAAGCAGTGTAAATAAATGCAGTATAAAGAAAAGCTTTAAAACATGGTTTTCAACTCTATGTATTTAGAAATACAATAATAAATCTGTATGTATGCAAAGATACAATATGAACTCTGTTTGTATATGAAAATACAAATATTCCTAATGTATATAAAAATACAAAATATTATTGTGGGAGTTTCTCTAACGACAACCATCACTTAAGAGCTATCATGATGATACATCATTTTGCCTCACGCTGCCAGAGCCGTCCTATACCTTGCCGGGGCTATAGAACCTGAACTACTAAGTGGATCCACTAGTCTATGCTATAAAGCACTAAGGAATCATCTAAAAAGTATGACCATTTTCTACCATTGGTGGCTACATGGTTTATGGGGGCTGTGAGTTGTCTAAACTCTCCCCCATATCGGTGCTCAATACTACTCCCAAAATATGATACTAGCTCTTATATTTTGAAAAAAAACATACTTCTTTCTGTGATTTGAGATAATTGCTCAAACACTATCTTGGAAATCAAAGTTTCCTCTCTTGCTTAATTGTGAAAGCATTTACTCTTTAACTGAAAAACTAGCTCAAAGGCTCTTTACTGAAATAGTAGCTCAAAGGCTCTTTACTGAAAAACTAGCTCAAAGGCTCTTTACTGAAAAACTAGCTCAAAGGCTCTTTACTGAAAAAACTAGCTCAAAGGCTCTTTACTAAAAAACTAGCTCAAAGGCTCTTTTGGAAATCAAGGGTTCCTTTCTTCTTTAAATGTGAAAATATTTTACTCTTTGGGAATACATTGTCCTGATATACTCTTTTGAAGAAATGAACTTCAAACTTTACTCTTTACTCAACTCAAAACTCAAGTCTTAAAACAAAGTTAAAACATTTGTAAAAGACTCTTGGAAGACTCTATGAACTTCTCTTGACTTGACTTTTAACTGATCCTTGAATTGAATTATGGATTCAAGGATTGTGATTTGTGATAGGAAAGATATCATGATGTTTAAGAGTGTTTTTAGATAGTTAAACATGAGAAAAAAAATCAAGAAATCACTGTCTGGAAGCAAGTTTGCGACGCGGAGATGCATTTACATATTTGGTCGCGAAATAAATTTTGAGGCAGAACGGTCTGTGACCGCTCCGTGACGCGAGAGAACTTTTTCGATCTTGAGGAACAGGTCCGCGTCAGCTTTTTCAATCCCTTGCTTTGACTTGGTAAATTGCATCTGGATTCGCTCCAATTCCAACAGATACCGCATTATCTGCATCACCAGTTCTAGGTGTATACTATGTTCCAGAGCCTTTAGTTTAGTTGCGGAGTAAAAACTACTATATATAGATAGTGCCCACCTGGTACCCAAATTTGCCCGACTTGTTCCTTCTTCGTTTTCTGACCCCAATTCGTCTAAACTTGGTTCTTTTTCTCAAATTCTCTTTAGATTCAGATACCCAACATATGTACACAAGAATCTAATTAAACACAACTCTAAAATTGACCTTAAACTCTCAAGAACTCCTCAATCTCATCCCAAATTCAAGAACGAAAGCAATTCAAGAATATAACTCAAGAACATCTCTCAATCTTTTAGCATGAAAATCATACTGAAATAAGCATGTTTGGTGTGTGGGTGAACGAACCCAACGCTATGTGAACTCACATACCTCGTAGGGATCACCCCTTGATGAAATCCATAAGCGATTCTTGAAGATCTTGACGATTCTTGCTCCTTCTCATCTTCTTTTTCTCTTCTCTAAAACCCTAACTCAATATTGTAAAAGCGTAAACTGAATCCTATCAGTTTAGACCCCAATTAATTACCAAAAAACTAAATTAAGTCATGGGGCATGGAAAAGACCATAATGCCCTTCTAAAATTCGGGTTAGACTTTCCTTATTTGAATAGCCCAACTTCAAATGGGCATATCTCACTCATACGAATTTGGAATCGCGCAAACTCGACGGAAAGATTATTCGAAGATCTTTCCTACGATATCTGGAAACACACCTAACTCATCCTGAGCTAGGTGTTATGGTCATTTGAAGTTGACCAAAAACCTAACTTAACATACTTAACAAAATTTCCATATTTTTATATTCTTTTCAATAATGACTATTTCCAATTTTTAACTTCTTTCTAGTTACAGGGTGTTACAGTTCCGATATATGAAGTTATCATGATGAAGTCTAAATTCATTTGTTTTTGTTAATAATTTTTCTTGTGATGTAGATATATGTTTCTGAATATGTTTTTTCAAAATTATTAAACTTGTCAAGAGTTAGAGAACTGTTTTTATGCTCAATTCAAAATAATGACTTTATATATAGGTATTTGATCAAAAACTTGTTTGAAAAGTCAAAACTATATTTAATAAGTACTCTGTCGTTTCAATTATTTAGTGTACTTTTATTTTTATTCAGTTAAATATAGAATGTTCTTTTTTCTTGGGATTGGGGGGCGCATCTTTAAGACCACAAAGTTAAAAGACATTTTTATATATTCTACTATGATCCTTAAATTAAAAGTCTTCTTTATTTTTTAAAATTTCATATCAAAATAAAATTAAACCAATTCTATATCTATCTTTTTTTATCAATCTATATTACCTAACTTAAAACACCAAATGTAGTATATCTTCTATAATTAATATTGTATTATATTTATTTATGCATATTATACTGTTTAATATTAAAGACAAACACCTTTTCACATTAAAGGGTTGTGACATTTTCGAAGAGTTAACTTTTCCGATGAGTTGTGACCTTTTTGAAGGGTTGTGACTTTTCTATAGGGTTGCTACTTTACGGAAGAGTTGTGACTTTTCCGAAGGGTTGTGACTTTTTTGAAGAGTTATGACTTTTCCGATGAGTTTTGACCTTTCTGAAGGGTTGCGAGTTTTCTAAAGGGTTGTGACATCTTTTTGATAAGACACAATAAGCAACTTTTCATACACTACCCTTTGTTGGCTATAAAAAGAGGGACTTCCTTAAAATTTTAAACTACATTTTCTAAAAAAATATTCATTCTTCTTCTTCTTCTTAAAACATCCTATTTAGTATATCTTCTATATTTTTATGATAAGAAGCAATATGCACATACTAATACTACACATTTTAACTATAAATGGAGGGGTTTCTTCACATTTTTAAACTACATTTTTTTTTTATGTTTTCTATTCTTCTTTTCTTAAAACCTCAAGATTGATTTATAGATGTTGACAATCTCAAAGGTCAGTGAAATTAAAACACTCCCTACATGAATATTAAATTAATTTAATAATCCAACTGAAAGCATCAAATTTAGTATATCTTCTATATTTTATAACAATATTTATTTACATTATATTATATTAAAAGTACGAACACCAACAATACAATAATAACAAAGTAATGCACTATAGAGAAGGGAGGAGAAAGTACATTTGAGAGGTGTAACTAAGAAATTTTAAGAGTGACTAATTTTTTTAAATAATATTCACGTTATTTTTAAAATAGTGTGGTACATGATTTAATATTCACGTGCAACGCATGTGCGTCAAAACTATATTGCTTGTATCGTTAAAGAAAGAATATAGGGAGTGGCGGTAGTAATAGAAAAGTGTTTCCGGAAGAGTGAGAGAGAGGTTTGGCCCTAGCTTAGGTAAAAAAAGAAAATGGCAAAGAAAGGTTCATCAAAGTGTGGAAACTCTGCTTCAACTTCAACTTCAACCAAAAGGTAAGAACAAAAATGGAGAAAATAGATTGGATTTTAGGTCATTTGTGCTCCCCATTTGTTTTGTTGACAAATTGCAGTCTCAGGGTAAAATCAGCGGAGAAAGTAAAGGCACGTGGAGTGAAGCAGAGCAAACCCACATCAGCCAACAAACTTAGCGCCATTTCGAACAAGAAGCCTAAGAAGCCCCCCACTGCCTTCTTCTATTTCTTGTATGTACCTTTTCTTTTCTATTTCAAGTGGTTTACTCTTTGCTTGAACCCTAAAAAACAGTTATTGTCATAGTAGCATCAATTGACTTCAAACTTTTGATACACCTGACTCCACTCACTCTCTTTCTAATTTTGTGTTTGTACGGTGGTTTGGTGGATTCTTGGTCAGGTTAGGTCTGTCATCCTCCAGAAAAGGAAATCATTAGCTTATGAGTAGGTCAAGGGAAAAGCTCATGTCTGTTATATGAAAAATAAATACAAACTAGGTTGTCAAATTTGTATTTGTATTTACAAATCTTAATAAGATATCGCAAGTTGTTTTATCTTGTTAGAGTAAAAAATAGGGTTTGGTGTAATAATTAGTTTATGCATCTTAATAATATTTTTGGACTCTTTATTTCCCCCATGATATCATAGTTTGGTGAGGAACAATCGGAAATATAGTCACAGTTCTGGCGTCTGTACCAGCTGTTGTTTGTGGTTATCTTCTTTTTACATTAAGTGTTTGCGGAAAACAACATTGCCATCAGCCTACTCATAAGCTAGATCATCCAGTTTTTGTCAACTTCTGGCGACTCTATTGGTCTTCTTCCAATAATTTTTCTGATTTGTCTAGTCTCTTAAAGCAGCTTTCTGCTCTTTGGGAGTTGTCCAACAACTTTTCAGTCTCCCTACTTATTTGCTTAGATATCTCTTCAATCCAACCTATCTCTTGGATTTGATGTTTCTAATATGAGTTGGAAATTCAGATCTTATGACTACCTCAAAATCCTTAATGAGATGATCAGAAATTCAAACATCCAATATATGAAAAATCGATGGATGATGAGGAGGTCATTTTGGAAGATCTCGACCTCGATGTAGTTAATGTATAGGCTTATGCTCATGTGCTCAGACCGACACTATAGGTAATCAACAGTTTTATTTATCTGAAGGAGAATACAATGAGTTCCTTTAGTATTGCTCAACCTGATACTTCTATTGGTGATAGTTCTTTTGCTTGTATTTCACAGTCTTTAATACCCTTGGTTTGTGGACTCCGGTGCTTCACACTCGTACCCTAAGCCATGTGCTGTAAGGATCTATGTTCATAAATTAGAATGCAAAAAAAATAAAAATGAATTTCAATGACCAATAAAGAAGCACCAGAATTAAATTAATATATTCCACATAAAAATAAACTATTTTCAGTGCAAAGAAAAATCAGAGAGATGAAAAGAAAGGATTATCTTCTATTCCTTTGATTTACTATAAGTATCTTCTTTTATTTTATGAATTTTTTTTATTTATTTAGCATTTTTCAAAAATATGTTGTTGATTTTAAACTAATTTAATATAAATAACTAATATATTATTTTTAATAGTATTAGGATAAAGTTGAATGAAGTTATTAGCACCTCAAACATGCTAGTATTTTATCCGTGCGACACGTTGAAAGTGAGAGAGAAAATCATAAAAAATATTATCAAATTTATTTGATTATATTTAATTTTTTTCTAATTATTTGTTCAATTATAAAACTTAAAATCATTTTATCCCTAATCTTTTATAAGAAGGCAAATAGAGCCGAAAATTATCGTCCACATCCTAAATTGTCGTAAGATGTTGTGTTATGTGCAATAAGATTTAGAGTTTTTTTTTTTTTTTATAAATCCATAAATTAGAATTACATAAATATAATTATATGATTGTGACAAAATCACATTTATTAGTTTGCTTCCTTCAACAAAATAAGTCGGACTAAAAAAGTTCGTTGAATGTGTCCTTTAAAAACTTCTTTGTTGTGAATTCAGAATTGTTCACGAGCAAATCCAAAATAGATAACCTTAAAGTTATAACAACTATATGCTAGATGTGTAGATGACTTTTGCCGCACTCAATGTTCAACTCGAGAATAGAGTGCCTTATGTTAATATGTTATGATAATCATCCGTTTGATGGAAGTGTGATAAAAGAGGAGACATTCTTCTCCTTTAACGATTTTAACCATGTAATGCAGAAACGAAGACTTGTAAATGCCACGGGAAAATAGAACATCTAAATCTTCCCCATTTGAAATTTAAAGTTACAAAACAATAGTGATAAGAATATTGTTCAAATAGTAAAAATAATTAACTTGCTGAGTTTGCAATAAAAGGAACCGATAAGACTTGAGGAAAACAATAGACTTATGCTATAACTAAAATAATGACAAAGTAAATTATAAATGAGTTCAAATTCTCATTCTTAAGAAGAATCTTTAATATTTCAGTAGGGGTTTTTTCATTTATTCCACAACAAATAATACACAAGCTAAAAATGATAAAATTTAAGAAATATTTACAATGTAAAAGCTTTTTAAACTTTTAAAAATCTTTTTCTATGAGCTTCTGGTGCATCCTTCCCAGCTTCTTCCGCCGCTGTTATTTTCTTCCTTCATAGGCTATCAAATTCTTTTTCTTCAATTCCAACATTGGGTACTAAAAAAAAAAAAAATGAAATTCAAGGGAGATTTAAAGTAGTCCTTTAATAATTTAGGTAAACACTTGAGTTCAGCCAAAAAGACTATTTGAAGAGAGCTTTTTCTAATGAAGGTAATCCGATAGCAAGTTTTATGTTGAGCCGGTTATGCTCTGATTAAGATTGTGCTAATCTAGAGCTTGAACCACTTTTTATTTACGTAATTGTGTCTTCATTGAGATATTCACAAGATTCTTTTGTTTCGTATCTAGTGTTTGTGTGTGTTCCCAACTAGACTTTTGTTGCATATAATTAGATTCATTGAAGCTCAAAAAAATGCCCACTTTAATGTATTCTGCTAACTATATATTCCCATCTATTTCCAGGGAGGACTTCCGTAAGGAATTCCAGGAGCAAAATCCAGGCGTCAGGTCAATGCGAGATGTATGTGTCTCTTGAATCTACATTCAGTCTAGTATAAAAATAATTTTTAAAAAAAGGATTCGGCCTAGTATATTTCCTTGTTTTAACTAGTTTGGATTATTTATGGCATTTTTCTCGCATTTTTTCTATGATGTTTTACGTTTCTATCATGCTGCAGATTGGGAAAGCTTGTGGAGAGAAGTGGAAAATAATGACATATGAGGTTGTGCTTCTGAGCTAGTCTTTTCATTCTTTGTTCCTTAGTTTGCTCTTATTAATTGCATGATTATGCCTTATGTTGTGTTGATGTGTATGTCAACGGTATGTTATATCGGTACAGTTACTCTGTCTAATTCTTCAAATAGAAATAAGAATAGGAATAAGAATTGTCATAGTAATAGGAATAGTAAATAGTATCCTACTTGGTAAAGGATTGTATTGTAGTGTCTATAAATTGAGTCTTTGTGTAATAATGTAGACACAACAATTCAATAATATTCTTTTTCTATGTTTCTCACATATATAATTGAGGTTTTTTTTCCAAGTCTAGACTAGTTATTAGTGTTAATAGGAAAAAGTGCATCTCTTTATTTACCTGAACTTGGAGCTTAGTTTCTCATTTTGTGGGTTGCTCTTATCTTGTGAGTAATATGTTGGAGCGGGAGAAGATCGGAGCAATTAACTTGTTTCGGCATCAAGTCCGCAGCAGCCTCAGATTATGTTTTTCTGACCAGATTAATCCAATTAGGTCAAGCTCTCTTGTTTAGATGATAAGTCAAGTTCACTTCACTAATAATACCCCAAGATGATGTCAAAAGATGTACGAAGTGAGTGAGTGGCTAAATAATATTTATCAATCAAGCTCTTACAATCTAGGGATGAAGGTACTCATTCTTTAACTTAATAAAGAAGGGAATAAAAATGGTCTTTAACTTACAATCTAGATTAATACATGTGGAATAATTTCCTACTATTCTCATTCCAAATTGTCAAAAACACACAATGTTATGGTCTTCCAAATTTCTGTGTTCTCCTTGCTAAATCTCTGCCATCTCCATTTGGTCATTGTCTCTTTCACCCTTTTTGTAACACCCAAGCCATCTCACAAATAGAGTTTGAGATTCCAATTTGTTCTAGTTCTTAACCTATAGGAACTGAAATTTTCTTCCGATCAGAGTTTTCAAGTGACAATCTATGTTAAGCAAGAGGGACCATTAGTTATGTTGGATGTATTCAGACTAATGGACCGAAATTCTCCCTTTTATTTGTCTTTAGATTCAAAATAATCCTTCTTTTCTGTGGACACTAATAGTCCTCCTTTGCCAAATTGGTGCACTTCCAGTCCATCCCAAACGTCTGTCTCCTGATTTAACGTGAAGGTTGTACTCCTGCAAATTACGCGTGACATTTTTTATCAGTGAAAATGATAAAAAAATGTTTTCCTGCTCTGTTTCTCCATCCAATCCTTTCGAAGCCCTTTAGCAAAATCCCCAAACCATAAGGAGTTTATTTTTAAGAACATAGGAGAAAAAAGCATGTGGAGACCATTGAGAAGCTGAAAGAGAAAGAAGAAAAGATAGATGGTGCAAGAGGAAGTTGAGACTGAGAAACATAAAGGGGTAGAAAGAGGATCAAATTGTCTTGCCACAGTTCATTCGGTTACTAATTTTATGCTTGTGTTGTTATAACTATAAGATGGAAATTGAATGGAGCTGCTAAAAAGTTTTTGCAAGATTGTTATTGAATAATGGAGCTAGTAAAAGGTTTCTCTAAAGTTGTAATTTTCCCAAATAGCTACTAATGAGGTTCTGCAATGCTTTGATAGAGCCCTTAAAAGTAATTACAGTAAATAGGATTTTCAAATTTTTGCAATTCCTTAATGAAGCTACTAAAACTTTCTCCAATGCTTTAATGGTATTGTTCAAGTAATTACAGTACATATGATACTAAGATGTCCTTTTCTTTATCCCCTTTGTTAGAATAGAATAGGTAAACACAATCCTACACAAAATAGGAATAGTTTATAGTCTCCTATTTGGTAAGGAATTGTATTATATAGTGTCTATAAATAGGGTTATCTATGTAATAATTAGAACAACAATTCAATAATATTTTTCCCATATATTTCTCACATGGTATCAAAGCATTGGTGAGAAACTTACCCAAAAGTAATTTAGAAAAAAAGAAGAAGTCAGAATCCGGTGACTGTCAACGGCTGGTTTGCATTGTTGTCTTGTTTTACAAGTGTAGTGCGAAAACCCACACCACCACGAGGCGTGGAACACTCAAGCGAGCAAACCCCAGTGAGCTCCTCTGAGTTTAACCTTGTCATGCGCCCTCACGCGCCGCTGGGAGTTCTAGGTTCGCGTCACCACACGCGTCACGTGCCGGCGCATGCGACCTTTTCTGGCCAGTTTTTCCGACCAATTTTTTTATAATTGAGGTCGCCTCTCCATTCCGAGGCAAACTGTATATTTATTATCTGTTTTTTTTTTCCTCTCTAAATTCATAATGTCTTTAGGGATTGATATTTTTGGCTCCAAGAATATAGGTAGTTCAAGTGCTATGATCATTTCAGAACCATTAATGGGAAGCTCAAACTATTTAGCTTGGGCTTCCTCGGTTGAGTTATGGTGCTAGGGGCAAGGTGTTCAAGATCACTTAACCAACAATACTTGTGTGGTAGATGAAAAGGCAAAGGCTAGTGAGACAGATAATAAAGTCAAAGAACAATGGGAGAAGGTTGATGCTCAATTATGTAGTCTCCTATGGCGATCTATCGATTGCAAGTTGATGCCCTTGTTTCGCTCATCCCAAACATGTTATTCAGTTTGGGAAAAGGCTTGTGCTTTATGTACTAATGATATATCTTGATTCTATGATGTGATATCTAGAATGACTAGCTTAAAGAAACAAGAATTCAATATGTTTACTTAATTGGGTCAGGTACAAGCAGTCATGGAGGAATTTGACACGTTGATGCCAATCACTACAAATGTGGACAAACAACAAGAACACAGACATACGTTATTTCTAGTTCTTACACTTGCTGGACTCTCTACTGACCATGATTCAGTGCGTGATCAGATTTTAGCTAGTCCTACAGTTCCTACAATTGATGAATTATTCTCTCGTCTACTTCGTATTGCCGCGCCTCCTAGCCACAAAGTAGTTTCATCACAGACCATTGACTCATCTGCTTTCGCATCTCAAACCATAGAAAAATGAGCATATCAATCTATGGAGAATCGACGAGGAGGAGGTCGTCTTGGAAAACCTTGATCCAAGTGTGGTTATTGTCATAAGTTTGGACACACTCGTGACGTGTCGTAATTTGCATGGTCCACCACCCAGTTATGATCCTGCTACTCTAAAGGAATATAATGAGTTCCTTCGTAATCGTGCAAGTAAGCATACATCTTCACAAGAAGCATTTGTTGCTTCGCCTGATCGACCATCCCATAATGCTCATATTGCTCAGAATATGATGAGTTCCTTCAATATCGAGCAAGTAAGCAAACGTCTCCACAAGTAGCTTCGGTTGTTCAACATGATGTTGTTGTTGCGGGTAATTCTTTTGCTTGTGTTTCACATTCTAATACTCATGGATCATGGATCATGGATCATGGACTCTGGAGCTTTTGAACATGTTTCTGGTAACAAATCACTTATGTCAGATGTTGTTTATTCACAATCTCTTCCTACTATTACTTTGACCAATGGGATACAACCAAAACCTAAAGGGGTTGGAAAAACCACAGCCCTATCTTCTGTCACTCTAGACTCTGTTCTTTATGTCCCTGGTTCTCCTTTTAATCTGGCATCTGTTAGTCATTTGACACGTGCCCTACATTGTGGCATAACCTTTTTTGATGATTTTTTTCTCATGCAGGACCGCAGTACGAGATAGACGATTGGCACAGGACATGAATCACAAGGCTTTTATTAACTTACCTCTTCAAATTCCTTAACCATATGCTCTGTTACAGATCCTCCGAACCTCATTCACAAACGTTTGGGACATTCGAGTCTATCTAAACTGCAATAGATGGTGCCTACTTTATCTAGCTTATCCAAATTAGATTGTGAGTCGTGTCAACTCGTGCCACATTAGTTCATGATGATGTTTGGGGTCCTAGTAGAGTCAGTTCCACCTTAGGATTTCGTTATTTTGTTTGTTTCATTGATGATTATTTGATATGTACTTGGGTTTTCTTAATGAAAGATCGTTCTGAGTTGTTTTCTATATTCAAAAGTTTCTTTGCTGAAATAAAAAATAAGTTTGGTGTTTCTATTCGTACTTTTCGTAGTGATAATGCCTTAGAATACTTATCATCCCAGTTTCAGGAGTTTACGTCTCACCAAGGAATTATTCACCAAACATCTTGTCCATACACTGCTCAGCAAAATGGTGTAGTGGAAAGAAAGAATAGGCATCTCATTGAGACTGCTCGCACTCTCATTGAATCCCATGTTCCATTGCGTTTTTGGGGTGATGCAGTCCTTTCATCTTGTTATTTAATTAATAGAATGCCCTCATCTTCTATTCAGAATAAGGTTCCACATTCCATACTATATCCTCAGTCACATCTCTATTCTATCCATCCTCGTGTATTTGGGAGCACATGCTTTGTTCATAACTTAGCCCCAAGAAAAGATAAATTAGCCCCTCGTGCTCTTAAATGTGTCTTTCTTGGTTATTCTCGAGTTCAAAAAGGGTATCGTTGCTATTCACATGATCTCCGCTGATATCTTATGTTTGCCGATGTAACATTCTTTGAATCTCAACCTTACTATACATTTTTTGATCATCCTAATATCTCTGAGGTCTTACCCATACCTCAGGTCTTACCTGTACTGACTTTTGAGGGACCTACGGTATCTTCTCCATCTCCAGTTGTAGTGCCACCACTCCTAACTTATCATCGATGTCCACGTCTAGCAAGTCTCAAATGATTCATGTCATGCGCCGGACCCTGCTCCCACTGCGGCCTTGCCTCCTGCCAGCCAATCGATTGCACTTCAAAAAGGTATACGATCTACTCGAAACACTAATCCACATTATACTTTCTTGAGTTATCATCGTTTATCTTCACCACATTATGCCTTTGTATCATCTTTGTCCTCTATTTCCATCCCTAAGACTACAGGAGAAACACTTTCTCATTCTGGATGGAGGCAGGCTATGATTGATGAGATGTCTGCTTTATATTCGAGTGGTAC